AAAGTCACTGACAAAACCGATCCCGAAGCAACTGCCCCAGATTACATCAGTCTTGCCAATGATTTAATCCCGGGACATTGCGTACAAATAAGCCAAGACTCTGGGCAGCGAATAAATGGCATCTTAGCTAGGAAGGCAGGAGAGGTGAAATCCACTTACAAAAAGGCCAGAAATAGTAGAGAAAGGGGTGAGCTTCACCAAAAAAAATACAAACTTAGTATTTTCAAAGATGAAATCGTCTCGTTAGAGGGTGTTGAGGAAGAACTTATTTGCACAAGACAAGACATTGAAGAGTGGAAAAGAAAAGTTGAAGACTTGGAGCAAAAAAAGACAGAACTGGTGGAGGCATTGCAGGAGGCCCTGAGAGTAAAAGATGAATGCTTAAATGAGAAGGAAAAAGACATAGCCAAACTGACTGAGCAAAATCAAGAGCTGCAGCGTCACATTAACGCCTTAGAAGGAAGACTTGGTGAGGTAGGATGTACTGGCAAGAAACTTGGAGAGCTTGGCTTAAAGCAAAGGTCCAGGAGACTAAAGGAACTGAAAAGCAGAGCTCAGGTGGCACTCTGGTTTATGGGGTCTTACGGTCTGGAGTTGACTTGTTTAAAAGGTGTGGACCAAAAACATGGAAAGACATACACCAATGATTTGGAGCACAGAGAAACACTGGTGGCAGGTTCTGAGACGGAAGATGATGATAAAGTGGAACAAGTCCTCTACTTATTAGATGAGTTTTGTGCAAGCGATGAACTTTACCATGAACTGACAATAATGTGTGATGAGTTGCCCAAATCATATTTGATAAAGCAAAAAACGAAAGCAGCTCAACGACATTTGCACAAGTGAAAGAGTTCCTGGGCATTATCCAGGTGCTCAAATGTCATTTACAGAGACATTAAAAGCTCACATAAAAGACCTTCAGAAAAATGATCCCTCATTTGATATAAATGAGCCTGTTAAGGTAAAGATTAGTGGTGATGGGGCCAAAATATCAAGAAGCTCAAACTTCATGATCCTGTCGTTTTCCCTTTTGCAAACTGCTGAGAAAGTCATGTCTTCAAGAGGAAACCGAACAATTGCTATTGTCAATGGCCCAGAAAAATATGACACTCTTTTTCATCAGCCATCAATGAAATCAACACTGTCTTAGAAGCTGGTTTCATTGATGTTGATGGGAAACAAGTAAAAATTGAAATGTTTCTGGGAGGAGACTATAAATTCCTGCTCATGGTTATGGGCCTCAGTGGTGCCACTTCCACTCATGCTTGCCTGTGGTGTTTGATTCACAAGTTGGATAGGTGGGACACATCAAAGCCTCTTAACCATTACAATTTGGGAGAGATGAAGAGAACCCTGGATCACATTAAATCAATGCTGCCCCTTAAAAAATATTCAGTGATTAATAAACCCTTGTTCAACATTGAACTTGATCACATAATATTAGATGAGCTGCACCTGATGATGAGAGTTACTGATCGCCTGACGGAAAACATCATCACTGAGGTAATGGAGAGAGATGGCGAGGCTGACATGAGAAAAAAGAGAGGGGAGAAACAAGGGATCTACCTGGAATCTCTTGTTTCTACTATCAATAAAATTGGCATTCCATTTTCTATTTGGGAAAAAAAAAATTCTGATGGAAAGGGCAGTGGTTCATATGAATGGACAAGTCTCATTGGATCTGACAAGAAAAAAATGATGGAACTCCTTCCAGCCCAACTTGCAAAAATTGACATTCACTACCCTGAAATAAGGCAAACAGTGGTCCAGCTTTGGTCAGATTTCCACAAACTCTATAACATAATCAGTGACTATGATACAAAAGCTGGACAGTATCTTGAAGTTGAAGAAAAGGGGAAAAAGTTCATTGACCTGTTTTGCTCACTGGCTGGAAAGAGAATGAATTATGACAAAAAGAGAGTTACCCCATACATGCACACAATACCCTACCATGTGCCACATTTCATAAAAAATTTTTCCACCATGAAGCAATTCACAGGGCAAGGGGTGGAAAAGAACAATGATGATGCAAAGAGGATATTTTTTCAGAAATCCAATAAATGGGATGTTGCAAGAGATGTTCTTCAGTCAGAATCAAGGCAGATAGCATTACAAGGTTATGAAAGAGAGAAACGAAAGTATAACAATCAAAACAAAAATTACTGGGAAGAAGGCATAGTTGAAACTCGGAAAAAAAGGCAAAGATCACAAGTGATCACAAGTGAAGAGCCAGGCCCTTCAGATGAGCTCACAGAACAAGAAGAAGACCTTGGCAAACTGAGTGTTTCTCAACTTAAAGAAAGGATAAAATCAAAAAATATTCAAGTAAAGGGATTGGCCAAACTGAAAAAGAGAGAACTCATTGAACTCTTGAAGTATACCCCCTAAATGTGCAAATTAATTCAAGATAATGGCTGACCC